AAGTAAAACATAAATTGATAGAGAAAATGGAAATGTAAACTATAGCCAACCCGCAATGAGTTACTCCTTCCTCGCTGTGAGCCAACAACCGTCGGACTGTCGGGTAGAGAAAGAGAATTGGATTTAATTTGTTGTATTGGCGGCGTGCAGCGTGGGGAACCATACCCGGCCAACGTCTGAACGCTCTGCATCTGCATTGGGTTGAGTCCTGCAATGCCCGATCCACGCCGAGACCCTGCACCAGCTCCAGCATTCGGTCCGCAAGCGCCACCCAAATTGATATTGGAACAAAAAGATATGTTAGATTTGCGTCTTGAATTATGCCGCTCAAAGGTCTTCTGCGCTGAGAAAGGTGATGGGCGCACCAAGTAACTATGGAGAAAAAAAGTGTAAGTTAATTATAGTATTATTATTATTAGTTCAGATATAACATATAACTTACATAACGTCACCCTCCTCCAGTTTTAGATCACAGCTCGGATTAATTATTACATAGGATAGATGATTCCGCTTTTCGCTCACGTCATCGTAGTCAATAGTTGGCAAATTCAGCGATTCCATGCGGCTTCGTACCAGATTAGCTATCTCTGCTCTCTCGATCTGCTGTGCATGATTGTCTCGTGCCTCATCTGCCAAGTTGATGGAGTACTGAAATAGCATGGAACACTGCTTTACGATTAGTTTGCTGAGTTGCTTGTGCTGAATTTTCTTTTTGCAACTTAATACGATTTGGTTATTTTTACAAAAATAAAAATGAAAACTTCTCTAAATGTTCAAAATGCTTTCAGTTGAAATGAAAAGTCTACATTTAATAACATTCAATAAACAGAATTCATTCCAGTTGGTGTTATGCACATTCAATTGAAAATTTTCAACGAATTGGAAAAATTTTGATTTCGTTTTCATTTTTAATAAATTTAAATAAATTTAAGAACTTGATCAATTCATGTGCTTGAAGTTTGTTATTTTTATTTTATTATTTTTACACTAAAAGCAATATGCAAAATTGTTTAGTTCTATTAACAACTAAAATTCATATGTACAATTTTCGTATCTGAGAAGAACCTTTACCACCTACCTTTACGATTAATCTATGTGAGTATGGCTAAAATGTAATGAGCTTTAACTTTGTATTAGTAATTGTTAATTAATGTATATTATTTATAAATAACAGCCATATTAGAGAATGTACCTTAAGATTTCTTAGTTTAAGAGTGATGGCTAATTTATTTTACTGGGCAGAATTAGAATTATATGTATAAAGATCTGATTAAATTTTAAATAACTAGCATTGATCAAGTTTTCTACTCGAAGTAATAATTAAAGAACTTACATACTAATCCAATAAAAGTAGAAAGAAATTTAAAATTAAACAAGTATAAATGTTAACTTGGGCTTTACAGACACATGGATTTGGTATACATAGAATTTAAAATCTATACTGAGGTCTCATTTATATAATAATATATATGTATAACATAATCTAGAACAAACAACATACTTATAATATAATAATTCTAATCAGAGATTCTATAAATTATCTGATAATGTCTCTATTTCGGTAGCTATTAAAGTTGGAGGAGCCTTTAATGTGTCAGTCAGTACATATAATATAGAATAAGATAAACCTAAAGTATTAGTTTGCAGGAAAATCCAAAATCGAAATTCAATGTATCAATTCAGAAGTCCGAGTTATAAATTTAAAGAGAATACGAATACATTAAAAGAAAAACTTTTTCTAGAAAATTATATTTCTAGTTTATATTAGTTTATATTTAAGCTATATAATATGGATATTATCTAACATTTTCATTACACAAGTTAGATTGTATATACATATAATGCTTAAGTTCTAAATTTTTTTTCTGAAGTATTTAATTAGAAAAAAAATCTTTTTCTAACAATAATATATGTACAAGTTGACAGTTAAATGGCAAGTATATCTCAATCTGAACCGATATATAAAAAATTTTCTATATACTTTTATATCAATATAAGTTGATTCCATCGTAACATAATTGTTAATTAATATCTTTATTAAAAACAAAGAAAAAATGAGTTTAGGATTTAGAGATCTATTGTGTCCACGTCATAAATTAAGAGTATTTCTCCAAGTCCAACTTCTTTTATTTATTAAAGTTTGAACCACTATAACACAATTTTATTTCATCATTCGATGAGTATATTATTTAGGACTTCTTTCGTTTATGCGTCAGTACGAGAAATATTTCAGTAAATTTTTTGAGGTCTCTTTCATTTTCCTAGAAATCCTAGAAATGTTGTATTAGAGTAAGTTCTCAGTTTTGTAATAGGTTATAGTTTAATCTACAGTGCTCTCTCAGAATGTTTTTAAATTATTTTTACTTACAAAGAAAACTAGACTCGAATAATCTATCAGGGCTATCATAATCGAAATCGTGTATAATAATATTCAATCTTCAACGATTTAAGGATTATATGCAACTTAAGTCTAGCTTTCTTTGTTTCTCCTGCTCTTTCCGAATGAGTGAATAGAAATGATTGATTTCAGGCTTACAAGCGGCGAGGTTGACACATTCCTTGCAAATTTGTATGTAGTTTCGGAACACAATAGTTGATGTCAATGTAGTGTAACCTTGATTTGTTAAGAAGTAACTTTCGAAAAATATTCGACCATATAATGTAGTGGAAACGTTGTTCAAAAAAAGTTAATTCTATTAAAATCCATTGTTAAATCGGTGTGCTCGAGAAGTTGGAATCATGCCATTTCGTATATCAATATCTCAGTACATTACGACTATATAAGTCGAAAGAATCTATACTTTCTTTCTATATCTAAATTTGGGTAAGAATTCCGATGCACAGTCTGCTAATAGATTATCGCTCAAGTTATACTGAAATAGAGAGCCATGCTTTTTCCAACGTTATTTCTGTGCTCACCATTTAGGCGCTTATTTATTTTTTGGTGGTCATGGCATGTAAAAAGCGGTTATCTGTGGTGTCACAAGGGGACACGATTTATTCTCAAATGGGGAAGGCCACCACTCCAACCTCAACTAACGTATGGATATATAGTCAGTTAATTCCAAGTCTATAGTTATTGGAATTATCGACGAAAAAATTTTCTTATTTATATAAATTTAGAACTCTAATAAAATTTTTTTTTATATATAGTATTATTTTTTGTTATTAGTAATTATTTG